AAGATGCAGCACCTGTAGTTGTAAGGCATCAGAACGAGAGCGAATTTGCCTTCTTGCAGGTTGAGCACTCCCAAAGTCCATCAATATCGCAAGTGGTGGTTGCCCTTTTCTATGGGTTAAAAGAACATTACCAGGTTTGACATCATTATGTGCATATGGAGGCTCAAGACTGTGCATATGTTTGAGCCCTGCACAGAGCTGTTGCAATATATTTCCAGTCAAAATATGTATTCCATGTGCAGAATCAATCATGCATGATATGATCAAACTTTCAGATAAAATTAAAAGATAAAAACTATAAAAGATATGACATCAAATGTATCATGGTAATTTACCTGCCGAAATATTTGAAGAACATCTGAGGTTGAAAAGAACTCCTTTTTAGCTTTCATGGCTATGGAATTGTCCAGTAATGTTCCATCCAAGTGAACTGGGAATAACAAGTATGCTTCATGTTTCCATGCTCCTTCTTGTGTAGACTAGACAAAGAAATTAGATTATCAATCAACACAATTGCATAGGGAGTAGAACAAAAGGACTAATACAATAGGAGCATCTTCAAAGAAATTAAAATAGCAAGAAGATCACCAATACTAAATGTCATTTACCACAAACACAATAACAGCATGCTAACAAATTGAAAGCAGATTTTTCAAGAGGACACTTGCAACAATTTACAATGTTAAAAATAAAGAAGAACTAAGCTTGATTACCTTAACTGCAATAATAGCATGATCGAGAAGTGGAAGCAGATTAGGGTGATTAAACAGTGATGAAACACGAATTTCCTCACGAACCAACTCCAGCTGCTCATTGTTCTGGATGAGAACTTTCTTCATGGCATAAGTGCCATCATCTGCATTATAAGCGAACTCAAATCAGTCATTTAGTCCAAAAATGAGTAAGCTTTTTGTTTGAAACTTTGAAGCAAACAAGGGCATCCTACCCTGCATAGGATATGTCTAAATTCCCAGCCGCATAAATCAAAACACTAGATTATAACAGTGAATTAAATTAAACTTCATATCAAACAATTAGAAAACAAAATGCAATACAATCCGAAATCCAACTTCAGAACAAAATTCATTAGACAATTAATCAAATCACTAACCTATATTTGTGAGATAAATGGCATCAGAAAACCAGTTACATTTTGTTCAAATCCAAACGCAATCAATTCAAAGACATCCAGATCACGAAATGTACAACAGAAACAGAATTGTTGAGGATGTGGAGAAACGAACCAGAGAGACGAGAAGGATCCTTGAGTTTCTTGACAAGACCACCGGAAGAAGCTGAATCGACGAGGACCTCCTTGACCAGATAGACATAGGCGAATCCACCTTCACCGAGCTGCCTGAGGATCCTGAACCTGTTGTCGTTGATCCAGACGTCCTCTCCGCCGTTGACGGCGTCGTAGAGCGCATTCAATCCCGAGAACGTACACCCCATTCTCGGTCCACTCTCTGTAAGTAGAAGTAGACTGTAGATCTTCAATATCTCATTTCTCTTTGTAGATCTCGATTCCTTTCTTCCAAATGAAATTTAATTTCGAGCTTAAGTAAATTTGCTTCTGCAGCTTTCGTGTCCATAGGAAATTGGGGTGTCAATTTTCAAAAAATATATTTCTTATTCATAAAAGATATTAAATGGTTTTTTAGTTCGGTAAAAATATTAACAGCCTCGGGAGTATGAAAGAGACAAAACGCCCTAGTG